TTATGAATCCCAAACCCCATATCCCCTCTATGTGTTTTTGTTCGTTAGGTTGGTTTGTGGGCAGGCCAGCATCATCTATTGTTGTGCATGACCAAACCTGCCCTTTCTGGGGTCATATGCTTCATACAATGTATATTCCCGAAACCCCTCGACCCTTTGTGTAACACTGATTCTGGGTATTTTGAGCTCCACCACTACTATTTTTTTTCAAATCACCCTCTAATACGTACTATTTCTAACTCAGTTTTAATCAATTTCTGTCCTGCACTTCCACTATATTCTTAGAACCCAGGTTCTGCCCCTCTTGTGTGAGCCTTGCCTTGGGACCCTTGAGCTCCCTCTGAACTTGGAAGCATAAGGGCTGGCCCTTCCACACTGCACTCATTTCTGTCTGGTTATGCAGACCTGGGTGTAAGCACTGCCCGGGGTCCCTTGAGACCCTTAGGGAACTTTGACACACCCAGGTATGAGAAAGGCTTTGAACATCATGGGCATCTGAAGTGATTAATTATATAACTCAGATAGGAAGTCAATATCAGGCTTCTTTTGGTTGTAATTTCTTATTTCTGCACTTCTTTTGTAAATTAAGTATTTGGTCTGTAATAATTTGTAACGAACATTAGGGTTGGCTAGTAAAAAGGGATGGGGCAATTATGCATGTTTTAAGGGTAGATATCCTGCCTATAGGATCTGTTTAATAAATTCTGCATGTTTTACTTTCATACTTAGATATCATGCCTTAGGATCTGTTTGATGAATTCTGTATGTTTTACTTCCACACTTAAACATCATGCCTATAGGATCTAAATGGTTATAATCAGACATCATGCCTATAAGGTTACAATCAACTTCGAAATTAGATGTCATGCCTGTAAGATTAAAATCAATATCTTTATAGAAATTATGCCTATAGGAATTTCGCTGTGATCAAGAGAACCCTGCCTACTCCACTTCATGATCAATTAGATACCATGCCTATAAGATTAAAATCAGCTATAATAGAGAGCATGCCTATAGGATCAGTTTAGTAAAAAAAAAATATCGGTTTGACTCGTACTGTTCTGAATCAGTTTAAATAACTTACTCCTTTTAGCAATACGGTTTAGAAAGCATGCCTATAGGATCCAAATTGCTAGTTTAGAATTGTTTACTGTTTTACTACACTCCTAATCAACAGTAGATATCATGCTCCTAGGACATCACTATTATGCCTAGGCAAGCCTTAGGTAATAATGATGATAAAATTTAATCTGCCTCTGTTTAATTAGCAACTGCTACAACCAGCAGGCAGGCCTGATTCGGACTTCTTATCTGAGCTACATAATGAATCTGGTTCTGACTCAAATCCCCTACCTTAGGATTTTTAAAATACAGACTTTAACTGTGCTTGAGTCGTGCTATTTATATGTATTATTTGCAGAGGATTGTATGAGCCTTCTAATTGCTTACATGTTTCCCCTTTGAATGTAGTCCTACGTATTTTTGTATGTCGCCTTAGCCTTTTTACCTTTAAACCTAAGAGTCAGCCTAGATCCTCCCTCTTATAAGAATAGTAGTCCTAAAATTCCTCCGGGATTGATAGGAATGGGACGGGTAATAGCACGCAATAGAGTTCGAGACCAATCCGCGCTTTAAATACCTTTACGGGGTGGGAAGGGTAGATATGGATATGATGACCGGTGCGCTAATACCACGTGTAGTCCCTCTTTTGAGGGCGTCTTTCAAAGAAAACAGCATTTCTTTTCTCTGCCATGGCAAAAGAACTTTGGCTCCTTCTATTTTCTTAGAAAATTTTACTCCCACATCTTATAATCAAAAATTTTTGTGGCCATTCCAAGGAAATTTTCTGCAAACTCAAAGCAATTTGATTGAAGAGTTCAAATTCATTTGCCATTTACAATGAAGTTGACAAAGGTAAAAAAGGATTTTCTTTTGTTTCCTCCAAGATTTCACAATTTTGGCAACCGAATCTCTGCTCCCTCTGCCGATATCTTCTTTGTTTTCTTACTACACGCGATTTGAAATGGTTCTTTAGCAATTTGAAATCCGAATCCTTCAAGAATCCCGCCCAAATTAACACTAGAAAAGCCCTAATAATCTTCTATAAATACCTATGTTTGGTAATAATTTAGAGTAACTTTTGGAGTCATCTTCAAACAATTTATTCTTCTAAATACTCTTAAATTCT